CGGGGCATGCTGGGGGCGTGCTCGTCCTCAGTTGCTCATCCCAGCTCCTCAGTGCAGCCTGTGCGAAGAGAGAGGAGGGGGTCAGTGGTGACCAGCGGGTGCAGAGACGGTTGCGGAGTGCGCGCGTGGGGGTAGGGCAAAGGCGGACAGGGGGCAGGCTGCGGTGGGCCTGTGATTGGGAGCTGGGCCACGGTTCGGGTCGCTGGGAGAGGGAGTTGTGTCTAGACGCGCTGCGGGTGTCGGACGTTCCGCGCTAGTGCCTCTGTTTTATCAACACATTACATTATTTTATTTAAATTTTTGGTGCCCGTAGCCACGCACGGCCCAATAAAAAGTCCTGCCAAAGAACCATCGGGATTGAGCTTTTGTTCGAAGTATTAGAACATAAACGTGATTAGCTCATTAGGATCACTAGCCTAATGGCATCAACACAGTAATTCCATGATTAATTAGCACTGACCTTGAATACGAGCCAGTCGGCTGGCCATCGGTGAATGCCCACCGGCAGTTCGCAAGTTAGCTAAACTCGATCGGTCGGTCAATGGCCGGCCGGCCAATAATGGTCCTGCTGGACTCGGAGGCATACGGTCTGCAGACGCAAACGTCAGTACGTGCGCAACGCAATTATTGACCCGCAGTTCGCCTCCGATCCACACGCCCGCCCTAGCGCAATCCACACTGGACAAGTGGAACTGGAACCTGACCTCGACTTCCAATTTCGTTGTCTGAGCGTTGTTAACCGCATATATATATTCCATTCCATTGAAAAGGCCACACAAAAAGATCATCATATCCTCGATTTCTTTGACAGTTCAAAACAAAATGACTGGAGCAGGTTGAAGCGAGTGTTCAAGATCTTCATTATCGTGCGTACTCAAGCCGCGTTTCACCGACGGTGGTGGGTGAAGTGAAGACGAACAAGCTCAGATGGTTATCTAGTCGCTGAAAAGAACAAGGAAGATCGAAGCCGTCCAGTCCATGTGAATCACCCAGCATTATTCGGTACTCACGCAAAACGTCCATTCATATAGTAATTCTTCCAACCCTTTAATTTGCGATAATGCTACGCTACGGGCGTCCGTCCCGTGATCCGCACCTGGACGCCTACATCGTGTGGCACCGCTCGCCTACACATCGCAAAAAAAAAGAAACCATCGACGCGCTTCGTATCTGCGGCCGCCACAGGCGACACCGCCGCTCCCACCCCCGCCGGTCGACGCCGTTGGCTCCGCACCGTCCGTGTCTCCTTCCTCTCCCTCTCTCCTGAAATAGCCCAAAGCGCGGCCACCTCAGTGTGTTGCGAACGGCCGCCCCGGCGGTGCCCTAGCCGTGCGGCACAGGCCCCCGGCGGGGTGGCCGCACGCCTCGGCCCCACTCTACCTCGCTACTCCTTCTACCAGATCCACTGCACGGTGAGAGATCTGATGGTGGTGGGGACTATAGTAGGCGGAGTCCATATGGTCGATGTTGGCGCTGGTCGATGGTTGCGACGGCGCGGCTGCCTCCTGTGAACTCCACACGCCGACGAGCCTTCATTTCGCAAGCAGCAAGGTGATGTTGCGACGTGCTGAAAACGCACGTTGCAAGTGTACATTTTAAATGTTTAAGATGTTTTAGAGATATGTTGCAATTGTTTCACATGGATGTTGCAAAAGTAGATCGGGATATTGCATATGTTGTAATGGTTGTACACGTATGTTGCAAGCATCTGTCCCCAATGTTTCATCTGTGTTTTTGGACATATTGTTACAAATGTGTTTATCTATATGTTGCATATGTTTCACACATATATTGCGTATGTTTACAATGGTTTTCAAGTGCTTTTTTATGTGTTTTTACAAGTGTTTCATTTGTCTTTAGACGTTGCAAATGTTGCATCTGGATGTTTAAAAGTAGATTGGGTATTGCACATGTTGCAATACGTGTGAGAAGCGGAGGGGACATGAGGTGCGTGGTCTGGCGACGCGGGCCCCGCATGAGCATGTGAAACCTAGGCGCAGGCAGGGGCATGCTATTTTTTTGCGAGCGCGGGCGTGGATTGCTTGTGCGAGCGCGGGGAACTGCAGTGTGGACGTCCGGACACAGGCCTCAGGCCGGACTTCCGGACGCTAGTCATTCTGTTTAATTTGCCGATAAAACCTTTGAAACCCCTGCCTCACTCCTACACAGTGACATTGTAGCTTATGTGAAACCACGATCGTAGCAGGAGCTTAACCCCAGCATTAGATAGGCACCCATGTGGAATCAAACCGAGGACATAAGGAGACTACTCAAACCACCTAACCAACTCAGCTTGAAACCCAAGAGATAATCACTACAAATAAAAAAAACTTCGGTGAAAGTACAAGAATATACATTCCAAACAAAAACTATTTCTATAGATCGAGAAATAAAAGAGTACCAACCAAACAATCTATGGATTTAGAGACATAATAACAAGAAACGTCTGTATATCTTCTATTCAGAAACCAAAGAGATTAGATAAAAATCTATATATTTAGCAGGAAAAACAGAATTAGTTTGTCTGAAAAAAGTCTTCGATGACAAATTCCATCCAAACAGGACATTAGGGCACGTTTCATAGGGATTCTCACAACTATACAAACGATTTTTTTTTGGATACGGCACATTTTTTAAGAAAATGGATACATTAGAATATCACCTAGAAATCCAATCAGAGGGCCTATCTAACAGACTACCTTTGGAAATCAATAATTCAAGGGCGATTAATAACATTAGTGTGCTTGTAAATCAATTTCCAAAAGCGGTCGGTGTTACCGATCGTCCCTAAAAATCACCTCTACATTAAAAGAGCCTATCTTGTTTCTCCTCTAGAAGGAATTGTAGCTCGAGTACCGATCGTCCCTAAAAATCACCTCTACATTAAAAGAGCCTATCTTGTTTCTCCTCTAGAAGGAATTGTAGCTCAAGTAGGAAAAAGAAGCTTTTAAAGGGCAACCCTAAAATTATTGCAAATCTAAATAGAAAAAGTTTTGCTCTTGACTTGGAGGAGATGGTTCTAGATGGTAAGAATATGCGAGTCTAATGTTCTTTTTTTATTTTTAGTGTTATATTATCGACTTAATTAGGTTTTTGTTTGCATCTTACTCACTCTATAGGTCTGTATATGGTGGTATGCCTATTAAACATGGAATTAGCTCACATCTTTGGAGGCCCATGAGTAATCTGGGTAGGGGCAAAAGATTCTACTATTGTTTGGCCCCAATTCAATGATTTTTAGGGTCCCCATGAATAGGGATCATGCCTTGGATCTAGATCTAGATATAAACATGGAATGAGAAATAGTTAAAATCATTGTCTTTTAATTGTGGAATGAATATGAATTGTTGCCACAATATTATTTTCTTGCAAATTGTATGCCTATAAGTTCTAAATTAGTTAATGTTTTGTTAACTGCATTCTTGGTTTAATTAGGGTTTGTTTGTATCTGACTACAAACATAATTGTTCTTTTTAATGTTTTGGATATTTAGGCGTCATGTTTATTAGAAGAAATTTGAGACGTGCATTATGATGAATATCTCACCGCACTTGGTAAAGCTGGAGTAGTTTATGGACCCAATTATTACGTCATATTATATGGCAAATATTAAGCATATATGGACTTCAGTACGTCACAATAAATGTAATGTGAAAATGATTATGGAAAAACATGTCCTACGAGACTTTGTGTTTGTCTGTGAAGTTACAAGTCAAATTGTCTCCATCGTCTCTCTCTATTTCAACAAATTGATCGCTAGTTTCCAACTCGATTTGTCATTTTGGAGAAATAGTACATTTTGTGAAGCTAGAGAATGAATGTGACTTCCAAACAGCAAGGACAAACCCGGTTCTTAGCAAACTGGTTGGTGATACGAATTACGAACAAATTAAAGGGGTAATCCTCACATTGCTCTCAAATTTTTAATTGAAGTGATAGTCTAGAGTACCACAACGGCATGCGCACTTGCAACCAAAATGGAACCGTTTTTTTTTTTGAAAGAATGATACAAACCTTTTTTTTTGTTGCAAGAATGATATGAACCGGTTTTGAAGTCCCTTTTTGTAGCAGTGTGTACAAAGAGATATGCATGTAAGTACTCCCTCAATCCCCTTTTAAATGTCGTTGTGATATTCATACCGATGCTTTCTTAAGTTTGATTAGATTTGTAGAAAATATTAGCAACATAAGTTTATTATGAAAATAGATTCAATGATCCATCTAATGATACTACTAGTAATTATGTATCATAAATATATTAATAATTTCTTATACGGGGAGTGAGAACAACAGTTTAAAAGGAACGGTGGAAGCGTGTTGTCGTGTGTACTCATGTGTATGCTCATATAATTCTAGTGACAGAACAAAAAGTTTGTTACGCCTGTATCTTTGAATATTTTTCTGCTCAAGCTCGAGAAGATTTGGTGTCTCGTTTTACATGATATATACACATTGTCGTTGTAGACAACTTGACCTACGATGTCTGGTTGTGCATTGAGTCGCCAGATGTCATTGTTGATGGGGATTTTCTCAGGTATAAGGGACACCGGGGTTTCCAGTCCTTGTATATTATACAGCTAGCTGTGGAAGAGATGGTCTCAAGAGTCTTAGCGGAAGAAAAAGAACACTTGCCAAATGAACTCCTCCGAGTCCGAGGTACTTTTTTTATACTATATTTCACGCTATTATTCAATTCGTTTATTCATACGCTTGATGTTGAAGGTCGATGTTGCGTTTCATATGCTCTTTTTCGTTCCTATTACTGTTTTGCACAATCCGTTCGCTTTGCTCTAGTAGGCTACGTATACAAAACCTTGATTGTTCAAAGAATTAGGAATCCAAAGGGATCCCTCTAAATATTCATGGATATGTATATGCAAGCACGAATGTATTCAATATTCAAAATTAATTTTGTGGATAACTCATGTCAGTACACGCAACCGATGGATTTTAGAGCCGGGCCGTGATGGAGGGCAATAGGGAAGCTGCCGGAGCTAGACATGGAGGTGCAGGTGCCAGGGGCAAATAGCTCGTGGGGTCAGGGTTGGGTGTGGATGTGTGTAGGAAGAAGGGAAGACGATAAGGTGCAGAAAGTGAGATTTGATTTGGGCCCTCCATTTTATTTCTAATAAGGGTAAAAAATTGAGCCATGGTTGCCCTTGATCACTCAGTTGTTATCCAGATAAACTGTAACACTTCCGCTCGTTAGTACCTGTAACAGCTCGTTAGTACCTGTAACAGTTATGTAGTTGGCCCATGTATGTGGCCCATGAGGAGTTGCAGTTGATGGGTTGTTCAATATCACCTTAGAAGTTTAGGAGGGTGAGACAGCTTAGAGCACTCCTAAACTTCTAAGGTGATATTGAACCCATCAACTGCAAACTCCAACAAATTGGCTAAATGCTGAAGTTTGGCTTATGCTGATTTGTTGTGAGAGAAAAACACTGTACGTTCGCGAAAAGTACTGCTGAAATAGTTCAAGCGAACATGGCCATTTAGCAATTTTATAAAATAGAAAACTCCTAAAAAAGAAGAGGTCTACAACAGCCTTCCTATTTCTCATCTTCAGATAGCTAGCGCCCGTGGTTGACTTTATATGGGCACTGAAAAATAAGGGATAGCCATCTTTTTATTTTACAAAGATAGATAACACATCTGTTGTAGCCTACTTTTTGCTATACAAATTCTAAACTAGCCTCCAAAATAGAAATAGCCGAGCTATTGGAGTTGCTCTTATAATCTTTTTTTTTTGAAACATAGCATCGGGATTAACCCTTTTTCACGAAGTGAGGACGAAAAGAGTGCAAGAGAGGTGCTACAGCGTATGCAGACTTGTTCTACGTGCGGAGCTGGGCTAGTGGTTCTAGGCATCCGCTGCGTATGTGGTGAGCTGCTAAGGGCGTCAGCCCTTAAGGGGTTGAATTAATGTAACACCCCATCCCGTTAGTAGTAGCCTGTAGTAGTTATGAAGTTGGCCCATGTGGCACTAAGGTTTAGTAGCACATTGGAAGTTTATTAGGAAGTTGGCCCAAGTACCATCTTGGAAGTTTAGGAGGGTGAGGTCCAGCTTATAATCTTTTTCGTTCCAAACGTAGCACCTCTGAATGAACCTTTTCACACGAAGCGAGGATAAAAGTATAAGAGATGTGCTATGCCTATTCAGGCCCATTCTATATACGGAGCTGTGCCATACAAACAGTTTTTAGATGGGGGTGTTACATAGACTCTTTGATAATTATTATGCATGTGTGATCACGTGTTCCAGTGTAGTATCTCTATAAGTAATTGGACAAATATTCTTTTTTGCTGCGAGGTTATGTTTGTTCACATTAAGTACCAAAATATAATGTCAAAGTACTCAAAAATTTATCAAAAAATATAAGGGAATCAGGTGAATTAACTCCTCTAGGTCCTAATTACGTTTGTATCTGTCACTAATGTCATTTTCAACCCAACAACCATGCTTAAAAAGGATAGGCCCAAAATATCCTCAAGACGAAGAGCAGGAGCGGTTATGGGCCTAGAGCCTGGCGCTAGGCATGGGAGAAAAGCCTGCATACCTCTTTTAGTTTTTGTGGCCCAATCTATAGTGTTTCATATGCTTGTCAAGCACTCACCGGGGAGGCGGGGAACAATAGCTCTTGGCAGCAAACCTATTGCCCTTATGCATCCCTCGTCCCTTGGCCGTCCATTTACGATGCGGTAAGGCCATGCATATCCTCATCTAGTCAGCCTCGTGAGTCGTGTGCGAGCAGCGAGCATGCAGCCGTTGTGGTTTTTCTTTACCACTTTTATGTATCCATCAAGTTTGTTGTTGATTTAAGTGTGGAATTGATCTAAAAGTACACATTATTATAGGTATATGGATTACATACTTAGATAGTGGCTCTATGGATGTAAATTGACCAGCTCCACCACTGATTAAGAAAATGTTGTATGCGCCATTTTTATCCCTAATATATCATAAAATCTAGTCTACATTATATTTGAGGATAGAGGGAGTACAAAGCAAAGATGTAGATTTTTGTATACAAACATGAAACATTTATTAGCAGTAGAGGTAATTAATCTGAACAATGCTATAATTAGTTAAAATCGTGGTTTCTACTTTTGCAGGCCAAAACTATGGAGCTTGTTGTGCAGCTTGGCCTCGGTCTTCTACTTGTTGCGGGACACTGCATCCCTGCAACAGCTGCTCCTAGTTCTGCATGTCAAATGCAGTGTGGCGATGTTAAGATACTGTACCCATTTGGCATCGGCAAGAACTGCTCCGTGTCAGGAGAATTCGATGTCACCTGTCAGCCAGACAAAAATGGCATCTCCAAACCATTCATCGGTGGCCATGAGCTCCTGGACATTTCCTTAACCAACAGCACCATTCGCGTGCTCAACCCCATCACGACCTACTGCTACAACGACACTTGGCACATGAACTCCTCCATGGTGGTAGAACAGCAGAATGATAGTAGTGGTGGCTATACATTGGTGGCGACATTGTTAGAAACTACCCCCCTTTCCGGTTCTCAGACACTCGCAACAAGTTCACTGTCATCGGGTGCCTCACTGTTGGCCTCATTGTAAACAATGTCTCGGAATACATGACCGGTTTGTTAGGATCGAATGTGTACCTCTCGGGGTGGCGGACGTCACTAGAACCCCGGTCACCACCGCCACCGCGTGGGGAAAGAAGCCGCACCGTTCGACGGCGCACGGCAAAGAATAGAAAAGATCAAATCCAGTTCGGATCTGACAAGAAAGAGGGTTCTTCCCAACTCTAACCCTAACTCGCGTGAGAAAGAAGAAGAGTGGGTTCGGATTTGGCCGAACCCTAAGACCTAACCCTAGATCCCTTTTTTCGGGTGAACAAGCGAAAAGAAAAAGAACAAAGAAAAGGGGTTGGCACACTAACCCTAACCGGGTAAAAGCAAAGCGAAAAAGGACCAGGGGTGGCGGACGTCACTGGAACCCCGGTCACCACCGCCACCGCGTGGGGAAAGAAGCCGCACCGTTCGACGGCGCACGGCAAAGAACAGAAAAAGATCAAATCCAGTTCGGATCTGACAAGAAAGAGGGTTTTTCCCAACTCTAACCCTAACTCGCATGAGAAAGAAGAAGAGTGGGTTCGAATTTGGCCGAACCCTAAGACCTAACCCTAGATCCCTTTTTTTCGGGTGAACAAGCGAAAAGAAAAAGAACAAAGAAAAGGGGTCGGCACACGAACCCTAACCCCAATTGGTCAAACAAAGAAAAGCAAACAAGATCTAGATCCGATTGGGGAAGAAGAAGAGAAAAGAACAAGGGTCGGAACCCTAACCCTAACCCTAGTTTCCCATTCGGATGAACTCCGAAAAGAAAAGGAAGAACAATACAAATCTGAAGGGGGAAGGGGTGGATCTACCTCGCCGTGCGTCGGGATGTCCCTTCGCCGGCGCGGGAGAAGAAGCTGAGCCGGGGAAGCTGGCTCGCCGGGCTCAGCTAAGGAAGCGCCGCGGCCAGGCCGCTCGATGGCGGCGTGCTCACCCGTTGGGGAGCACGCGCGCCGGCGAGTGGGCCGGCGACGGCGCCATGCCTCGCTCCACTGCCCGCTCATTCGCCGTCTTGCTCTCGGTTGTAAGCTGCGTTGTGAAGAGAGATAGCGGTGAAGACAGAGAGAGGAGAAGACCGAATGACCTAGGGTTTCAGGTCGGAGGCCGCGGCCGCGGGTTTTGTTGGCGCGAAATCGACGCGCAGCCGTCGATCTCCATCGGACGGCTTAGATTGAGCGGGCAGGCTTTCAGCCCAAAGTGGCGAAAGGCACAAGCGCGCTTTGCTGGCGGCCAGCCCCACGCTATGCCCGGGAAGGCAAGCGTGTGGGCAAAATGGAAAGATGGGCCGTAAAGAGTAAGGTCAATGAATCTGCTGCCGGGTTTTTGAGCCCAAAACGAAGGAGTCTTTTTCATTTTTATTTCCCAGAAAAGTTTTTACTTCCTGGAAAATTGAAAATGCAAATTGGCCCAAAAGAAAAATAGAAAAGTAATTTTTCCTTGTGGGTAAAATTCAAGAAATTGAGTATACGTTTTCCGCTACTAAAGAAAAAGTATATTCTCCAGTGATTTTGAACCGATGTGATATTTAACTGGAGAAAAAAGAAAGGTTTTCCAGTGAAGGTTTATTTCCTGGAAATTGATTAATGGATTAAAGGAAATAGAAAAAGCAATTTTTCATGTGGGTAAATTTCAAGAAAAAGAGAGTTTTTCCACAGCCAAAGAAAAGTTGTTTATACTCCAGTTATTTTGAACCAATGTAGTATTTAATTAGAGAAAAGGAGATTTGACATGATTATGATGTTGTTATTTTCTGACCAACGTTGTTAATAACAATATCATAATTTTAATGATTTATGCATTAATTCTACTTCTGCCCAACGGTGATGTAGAATTAGTGTATAAGAAGAGTTGTAAATTTTAATGATTTATGCATTAATTCTACTTCTGCCCAACGGTGATGTAGAATTAGTGTATGAGAACAGTTGTAAAAGTTAATGATTTATGCATTAATTCTATTTCTGTTCAACGGTGATGTAGAATTAATGTGTAAGAACAATTGTGAAAGTTAATGATTTATGCATTAATTCTATTTCTGCTCAACGGTGATGTAGAATTAGTGTATAAGAATAGTTGTATGTTTTGATTTTGACCAACGTTGGAATCAAGGCATGTAAATGGTGTTATTTATATGTTAAGAAAAAGTTTGACCTGGTTTTCATCTTGACTGATGGGACTGGGTAGTCACCTCACCGTGTTCCACTGAGATTGTGGCACCGGTGAGGGAGACAAAAGAGAATGATGCCACTTGGACAACTAAAGAAATGGATTTTGAATCCCAAAAGATGTCATATGGCTTTGGAGCATAGGAAGTGGGTCACTGCAAACAAGAAATGTTTGACTGTGATAAAGAACATGATTGAACCTGCAATTGTGGGCTCAATCCCATAATGTGACACGGTCACCGAGTACCTCGATAGAATAAAGAGTTAGTTCACTGGCTCTTCAAAGACATATGACACTTAGCTGATAAAGCAGCTGGTCACAGAGTGTTAATCTAGAAAAGGTGGCATAAGAGAGCTTACGATACGTTGTCGAAATTATGGCACTATCGTTCAGGCCATATTTCGAGGGGAAGAATAGAAAGACTAGTTAAGAATGATATTCTTTCTCCATTAGAGCTTTCAGATTTAGAACAATACAGAGAATGTATAAAAGGAAAGTATGTAAAGAAGATTAAGAAAGATGACAAACGAAGCGAAGAAATTTTATAGATTATTCACACAGACATCTGTGGTCAACTTTCCTGTAAAGAGTGTGGATGGTTATGATCCGTTCATAACATTCACAGATGATTACTCCCATTATTGCTATATTTATCCAATCAAAGAAAGAAAAGATGTATTGGATAAATTTAAGATATTAAAGATTAAGATAGCCAGGTCTAACCGTGGGGGAGTACTACGGTCGGCATACCCTAAAAGAATGACATAGTAGCATAGTATTCTACACCGGGCGAACCTCATCAGAATAGAGTAGCTAAAAGAATCAATCGCACCCTAATGAATATGGTGGGCAGTATGATAAGTTACTCCACCTTACAGTTGAGCCTGTGGATGGAGATGTTAAAAACCGCCATTCATATTCTCAATAGAGTATCAAGAAAGTCGGTGCCCAAAACACTGTATGAGTTGTGAACAGAAAGAGTACCCTCACTAAACCACTTGCGTGTGTGTGGGGAGCCCTGCTGAGGCTAAAGTATTTAACCCAAACATTGGGAAGTTAGATCCCAAAACAGTAAGGTGCCATTTCTTTGGCTACCCAGAAAAGTCAAAAGGTTTTCGTTTCTACTGTCCAGAGGGACTGACAAAGTTTATGGAAATGAGACACGCTGTCTTCCTAGAGGATGAATTGATGAGGGGGAGCATGCTAGCTCGAGAATTTGTCCTTGAAGTGAAGCGGGTGTATGCGCCCACTCCAATGATTCATGAGCCAATTTTCTCACTACCTGTTGTCGCTGCACCGATAGTGCAAGAGACTATGGTGTCAGCACCTGTTGTTATCCTACCTGTGGCAACAATGAATGATGATGAGGAACCTGTTCTTCAGGATTCTATAGAACCTATTGCCACACATGAGGGGGAGCAACAACAGCCTCAAACAGAAGATGTGCCAAAAGTGGAGGCCCCTAGAAGGTCTCAAAGAGTTAGAAAATCAGCTATTCCTGCTGATTATGAAGTGTACAACACTGAGGAATTTTAAATGAAGGATGATCCCACCTCATTTGAAGAAGCCATGAGAAGTGATCATTCATCAAAGTGGCTTAAGGCCATGGAAGATGAAATAAAATCAATGAATGCCAATAAAGTTTGGGACTTGGAAATAATTTCTAAAGGAGCCAAAACAGTAGACTGTAAATGGGTCTACAAAACAAAACTTGACTCTCAAGGGAATATAGAGAGATATAAAGCGAGACTTATGGCAAAAGGCTTTACGCAAAGAGAAGGGATTGATTACAATGAGACCTTTTCTCTAGTCTCATGTAAAGTTTCCTTCAGAATCATAATGGCATTAGTGGCACATTACGATTGAGAATTACATCAGATGGATGTAAAGATGTCATTTCTCAACAGAGACTTGGAGGAAAATGTTTACATGGCACAACCGAAAGGTTTTGTCATGGAAGGAAAAGAACGAATGTGATGCCACCTAAAGAAATCCATTTATGGATTAAAACAAGCTTCAAGACAGTGGTACTTGAAGTTTGATAAGACAATAAAGAATTTTGGATTTTAAAGAGAATGTAGAGGACAATTGTGTCTATACAAAGTAAAGAGAATGTAGAGGACAATTGTGTCAATACAAAGTTTAAGAATGGGAAGTTTATCTTCCTTGTCCTGTATGTAGATGATATCTTACTTGCTAGTAGTGATGTCAGTCTACTACTGGAGACAAAGAAATTTGATATGAAAGATCTTGACGAAGCCTCGTTCATTCTAGGGATCGAGATTCACCGAGATAGAAGAAAAAGGGTATAAGGACTGTCACAAAAGGCATACATGGAAAAGATCTTAAAGAAATTCAGTATGCACAAATATAGTCCCTCACCTGCTCCTATAGTCAAGGACGACAGATATGGGGATTTTCAATGCCCCAGGAGCCAATATGAGCTCAATTGATAAAGTGAAAGTGGTTCCATATGCTTCAGCTGTCGGAAGCTTGCAACATGCTCAAGTATGTACACGCCCTGACTTGGCATTTGTTACCGGGTTTTACTTGGCAAATTCGAGAGCAATTCTGGAATAGAACACTGAAATTAGTAAAGGAAGTCTTGCATTATTTGCAAGGAACGAAAGGCCTCATGATGACATATAGAAGATTTGATTCATTCCACATAGTGGGATATTCAGATTATGATTATGCGAGAGTGAATACATATCCAGACGTGGATTTTCTATCATCTCACAAATGGGAGCTATTTCATGAAAAAGCTCAAAGCAAACTGTCACTACACCGTCCACAATGTATGACGATTTATAGCGTGTTATGAGGCAATGGGCAGGTGAACTGAGTAAAGAAGTTCATACCCGGTTTGAAGGTGGTTGACGACATCTATAGACCACTTAAGTTATACTGCGATAATAATCTGGCAGTACAGTATGTTCACAACATAAGTCAGATGGTGCTGCCAAACACATTGACATAGAGTATTATGTTGTGAAAGATAAAGTTCGGGATCAAGTCATAAGTCTTGACCATATAAGTACAGAAAGAATGCTCGCGGATCCGCTTACAAAAGGCTTACCACCCAACATGTTCAGAGAACATGGTATTCAGAGAACATGTAGCTAGCATGGGTTTAAGGGAAAGCCTAAAATTCCTAGACAAAAGAAGGCCCAAAGATAAGTATCTATTTCAGAACAGAGTAGTGTGTTGTAGCTGTCAAGTCTATCGGCAATGGACCGTGATGATGAGTCATGCTCTATGCGCTAATCTGTAATGGAATGAACAAAAGTAAATGATATAAAATTGAAAGATGGAATGAGATCAAGGGGGAGAATGTTAGTTGATCTCCACCAATAGGCCCAACGGCCTATTGGGCCCTTGTCTCTGCTCCCTGATCGGGGGAGCCCAACCCTAATACGGTTGGTGGGCCCCTGTCGCACAGCACACATAAAAGGAAGGTGGGGATCAAGGCTCGGACTACGAGGTTCACTGGAGCCGCCATCCCACCTACAGAAAACCCTAATCCGATCCTAAAGAAGTGCTGTCAGCGACGGGATGTGCCCACCGACGACATCGTCGCCCCCTGCAGGTCTACACCGTCCCCTCTGGACCTCCACGGCATCGCCACCTCGCCTCCTCACCACCGTGCCAAGTACCGGCGTCCGCGAGGCTACAGCCAGGCGTGCAGAGAAACCCAGGGCGAGGAGCCTTCCCGGATCTATAGTTACAGAGAGGTACACCATCGATACTAACACGGTTGCGTCTCGACATGCGGCTGGAACATGTCTGATGGCAGCTCATGTTCAGAGATGGGCTGCTGCCAGACACCCATACCAAAGGGGATGGACTTGTTTGACATACACCTCCAATTCCAAACAACAATCGGAAACCAGACAAATGTTGATAACAAAAACCAGACTAATAGGTTTGGTGGTCTCCGGTGCAACTACGCCGTGCTAATGGAGGCATCGGCATTTTCCTTCAGCACGACATATGTCAACACGACCAAATCCAACGACATGGATGCTGGGCAGGCAGTGCCGGCCCTAAGGGTAGGCCAGGAGGTACGACGGCCGAGGGCCCAAGCGGAGGAGGGGCCCAAGCCCAGGTATACAAACTCACAGATCCTATAGTTTATTAGGCATTAGCAAACTAATGAGAAGAAAGACATAGAACTGGTCATGCGGCCTAAAAAGACAACATCAACATTTATTTCCTAGTTTCCTTTCCCCACGGCCCTCGGGTAGAGAGGAGGCGAGGAGTCACGCTGCACATAGCATACTTTGATCGTGAGTTCGCGACATGCGTCTTACACACACGGAGCTGGTGAGCCACGCCGCAGCGAAGAGCTAGACTACCGGAGACACGGACACGGCGCACGAGGATGGCGACCAGGCAGAGCTCCACGACGACGACATCTTGATTCTTGGCTTCTTACGAATTACGATCACCGTCAATTGTTTAGGCTAAGGCATTTTTTCTTTTTTCTTTTTAATCCAAATTAATTATCTGTATAGTATTACAGACTTCTAGTACTTTGTACCCATATAGTTATATTTTTCTTCTAATTTAGGTGTTAGAATTTTAGAATGTTACCTAAGAAACATTTGTCATGAGTGAGAAAAGAAAACGAATATATTGCTTTTTTAATCTACATTGTTCCTCGATAATTATCATACATCTACAAATTATTGCTTAATCTACATTGTTCCTCGATAATTATCAGACATGTTAAATTAAAAATATGTTATTGAATTTGCTTTCGTTTTACAAATAAAATTAGTACCTATATATTATAAGATTTTATATATGGTCAAGACGGGCCGTTACGACGAGATCGCTGGGCCCTTAAAATCCTAGGACCGGCACTGTAGGCAGGCACCTGTGGTGCTTGACTGGTCAATAAGAAACGACACTTGTCAGGTGGCCCAAAGGAACCTCACAGGTACGTATGCGTGCCTCAGCACCAACAGCAAGTGCGTTGATTCAACAAGTGGATCTCCAGGGTATGTGTGCAACTGCTCCCTAGGCTATGAGGGCAATCCATATCTTCCACATGGATGCCAAGGTGCCAACCTTCTATCGGCTTAATTAGCTAAATATCTTCCCATATCAATGTATGTATAATACATATATATGCCTTGTTATATTACTACATGCAGATGTGGATGAATGCAATCAGGGGAGGCCATGTCCTTCGGATGGTGTTTGCCACAACACAGTTGGGGGATACCGATGTTCTTGTCGAGCAGGAAGGAAATATTCTGAGCAAAACAATTCATGTGTCCTTGATACCGTCATAGTAATAGGTAACACCCTCAGCTAGCTCCATCAATTGGGAATTGTTCTGCATCACAGAAAGTAGTAGTTATGGAGAAAATATAATATTGCTATATGAAATATGTGTCAAACTTCAACCAACAATTAAGATGCTAACGTGCATGACTGCAAAACATGGTGCCAACTAAAATTGAATAACATGCATAGCTTATACTCTCTGTACAAATTGGAAAGACAATTTTCATCTTATTCGCTTGTTCGCTGGTGCTGTTATGCAGGAGTTACGATGGGCTTTCTTGCTCTCATGATTTTCTGTTTCTGCGGGTATGTGATTCTTCAAAAGAGAAAGCTGAAGAATACTAAAGAGGAGTATTTTCGCCAACATGGAGGCTTGATTTTGTTTGATACAATGAAGTCAGAAAAGGGTCTTGCGTTCACGGTATTTAGTGAAGCAGAACTCATACATGCCACAAGCAACTATGATAAGAGCAGAATAATTGGGAGAGGAGGACATGGAATAGTTTACAAGGGTATAGTTAAGGGTAACATGCCTGTTGCAATTAAGAGATGCACACTCATTAATGAAAGGCAAAAAAGGAGTTTGGTCAGGAAATGTTAATACTATCTCAAATCAATCACAAGAACATTGTCAAGCTCATGGGATGTTGCCTCGAGGTGGAAGTTCCTATGCTAGTTTATGAGTTCATCCCGAATGGCACATTGTTTCAGCTCATCCATGGTAGGAACGAGACATTGCAAATCTCGTTCAGCACCCTCCTAAGGATTGCACATGAGGCAGCTGAAGGACTCAACTTCCTACATTCTTACGCATCTCCCCCAATTATCCATGGTGATGTGAAAACCTCCAACATCCTTCTTGATGAAAACTACATGGCCAAAGTCTCCGACTTTGGAGCCTCCATATTAGCCCCATCTGATAAAGAGCAGTATGTAACGATGGTTCAGGGCACCGTGGGCTACCTCGACCCAGAGTACATGCAGACATGCCAACTGACTGAAAAAAGTGATGTCTACAGCTTTGGGGTTGTTCTCCTTGAGGTCCTCACCGGTGAGGCTCCACTAAAATTGTACGGGCCTGAGGAAAAATGAAGTTTGACTTCAAATTTCTTGTCTGCAATGAAGCAGAACGATCTATGTGCAGTGGTGGCCAGCCACATAAAAGAGCAAGAGAGCATTGAACTGATTAGAGGACTTGGAGAGCTAGCACAGAATTGTCTTGATATGTGCGGCAGCAATAGGCCCTCCATGAAAGAGGTCGCTGATGAGCTCAACAGACTGAGGAAACTTTTGCTCCACCCTTGGTTAGGACTGAATACGGAAGAGATGGAAACACCAGCAGACACTAGTTTTCAAACAGAAAATAGTATTGTCGAGTATCCTGTGCTGGAAAGTCAGAACCTGCCCATCGACTCAATAAGTTCAAATTATGCAAGGTGACTACAATATATATAGTATTCCTTTAAGCTTTGCACATGCTGGGGACAGTGTTAGTGGGAAATACAGATTCAGTATTTAGAACGGCCATCAGAACAAGTTACATGTTTCCTGAAACTCGGTGAGGGTCATGTAATAGTATTATGTTTTGAAAGATTTAACAAGTATCTCGTACTTATTCAGAGAACCAAGTGCCTTGTCTTATTTTTGTATTTGTAGCTTTGTACTACAAGCATGTATACAAATATCCATTTGCAACATCAAAATTGTTGGGGCAAAGAACGTTTGCCCTAGGCCTGTTAGGAATATAGGAGTTTAGCCACAAGATCATTAGCCTAATTACATGAACACTGATCAAACTTAGAGATTGTTTCGCTGCGCACCAATCCACCTCAATGCAGAATCTAGATGGTTGGGAGGTATTGGGGTGAAAAATTAAGTAATTATCTGTCCCAATACCTCCGAACCCATATTGATTGGGGTGGATTGGTGTGCAATGCCCATGTATATCCACCTCAATCCATGTGTGTTGGGGGTGGATTGGTGGAATTTAAACTAAATTTCACACCAATTCACCGCAACACACATGGATTGAGATTGATACATGAGCATCCAAACAAGGCTTTAGGTAACATGTGTAAATGGTGTTGTTGAAGTCGGAAGTCATCCGAATCAAACACCAACTAGGCTTTGGACACCCGGGCCGCTACGGACCGAAGAACGCGGCAAGATGTCACAATTTCGCGGTGAAGAACAGAGAGGTTTTCAAGCAAACCACCAAAGGATAACCAATATGCTTACGTGACGAAGAACCGGCTAGTTTTCAGGCAAACTAGCAAAGAAAGAGTCAAAACTCTCTCCCGGGAGGGACCCGTTAGGGCAAGGATGTCGCCGGGTTACCCTAGGTCGGCCGGCAAGCCTAGGATGTCATCCTTGGTCATTGGATCAAGGGATGAACAGCATGGGGGTTAGAGAAGAGCGTAAAAGGGTTGGAGTAGAGGTAGTAGATTGATTTGTTTGACGATTGGATAGATGGTGACTCAATCGGCTATGATCCTATCATATATACAGAGGGGGTGGTCTTATCCCAGTAGAAAACCTCTCCAAGGCTTATTTTCTAAGTTTCCCACAAGTTTGGAATAGTTCGGATCGAAATCCAAAAGGCCAGATCCGAACAGGGTTTTTAATTAGGTCTGCCGGATGTTCTGACCTCCGCTGGAACTTCCGGGTGTCGAAACTTCTGACCTTTGTCGGAATTTCCGACGTGGGGATAACCCCGGGCGCCCGATCAGGTTTTTTCAGGCTTTCCGGAAGTTTTGACACCTGTCGGAACTTTCGACTTGGGTCAAAACTTTCAGCAACGGAGCAATCTTCCCGGGGTATAACTCCTTCATTCGGACTCCAAATTGGACGTTCCATACATATTTTTTGACCATCTCGACGAGAGAAACGCAATGATGTAGTCCGTTTCATATTTTGACAGCTTCATAAAATGGAGAATTTTGGTTGTCAACATGTACTCACCTAGCAAGTGCATACAACATCACTGGTCAGCAGCGAGGAAGAGAAGCCAACAGCCATGAGGGCGATGCAGTGCCTCCGTTAGCATGCATAAGTTAGGATTTTCGGTTACGGTGGACTACTTGGGTCCCTTTGGTTTGGCTTTTTGGGGCAGCTTTTGCTTCCCAAAAGTTAAAAGCGAACCAAAGGCCCCCCAACAGCTCAACAGGTTTGTCAATGTCCTTGTGACCGGCTTTTCAGCGGCTTTGGGAGAACTTGGCAGAAGTTACCTGCCTGCCACTCCTAAGTGAAAAATACCGGTTCGTTTTCTTCCCTATCCGACTCGCGACCGGTGCGCCGCAGTTTCCTTGGCAGTCACCGGCCGACCCCCTCTCCCCCGGCCTGGATCTGTCGGTCCTCGGCCACCGGAGCTCCGCCTGTGCCTCCCTTCCCCTGCCGCGCGCCCACGCAGTGTTCGAAGCCACCGTAGCGTCGGTGTCCAAGAAGGCCTCGGCGGCGGCCACCGGAGGAACGCGCGGCTCCCCTCCTCCCTTCCCTGGCCGCGGCAGGAGCTCCTTCACCCGCGAATCCCTCTCGTCTTGTCTCCAAGCGCAGCAGAGTAGGAAAGGCGCGGCTCCCATCCTTTCTTGTCTGATCTGCACCATTGAATAGTACAGTATTTTACAACCATTTTACATATAACCAGCGTTAGAAGCAAACAGGGGCATTACAGACTTTTTACACAGCTAACAGCTCACAATAACTTGTCTACTGTTGATTCAGCCAAACGGCTTTTCAGCTTTCTCACAGCTGACATGGCACGGTAGCTTTTCCATAGCCCACAGTCCACAACAACTTTTGCTCACAACCACAGCTCAACCAAATGGACCCTTGGACGATTAGAGGGCCAACCGTCCCCATTTATATGCACCGATCACTCACATTGCTATCAACGAACAAGATCGAGACCGGTATTTGTAGAATAATGCTGGGGCAACGCGTCAAACAAGCATGGCGAGCGGTTTACGAAGATATAAAACTTATGAACTGTCGACTGTCGTCGAACAAGAAATTGAACCATCCTTTCAAGCACAAAAGAGCGCACACAGCATCATCCTTGTTTGTCACCAAAAGCACGAGGACGCAGGTGCACACAAACAACGGTAGGCAGGTCAGTGAAGGGAATCTGAAGCCAAGGATGCCTGCATCTGACGACCCCGACGTCAGCACCGGATCGTGCAATTTGTTTATTGTTTTCCGTCATAAAAAAATGTTGACGATGCGCATGGGCTTTGCTTTTATCCATCCGTCCGCGTCTGGATGCGAGATGGCGGTCGACGAGCGTGTTTGATTTGAGGGCGAACTGATACGGATGAGCAGCCTTTGGTTCGCGGACGACTCAGGATATCCAATACAGGAGAACATTCTCTGTCGATACCAGATAAGCTTACCGATAAAAATCTTTTGGAAAAGCTTGTCCATATCTTCTAATCTTTATCATTAGTAAATAAATTAAGGATTATTAGTAAGTTATATTATTATTTAGTAATTATGATGGTAGGATTAATTCTGATAAGTGCTAATATGTTGATTAGTGCATGTTTCGTGTGCTATTTAGGATATCAGTGCTGCTAACTTATTTTATTTTTAAGCTGTAATTATTATGACAAAACTAGTATTAGTGCATATTTATTAGTGTTTATTTGGTTGTTATATTCTTTAAAATAATATATATATAATTAGTCAACTACTCTCGTCCTATTCATTTTCATCCATCAAACCAAACAGAAAAATGATTCGTCCCATCAATCTAACCAAACATGTATTATGGATATTCTTATCCCAATATCCATGGATCGTCAATCCCATCCAATTCCGCCCTGCAATCAAACACAACCTTAGATGCTAGATATCCCAACCACCAAAAAATTGCTTGGCGAGCCCATCCATGTTTTCTAATCTTTGTTATTAGTATGTTATATTATTGTTTAGTAATTATGATGTCAAGATTAACTTTTGATAAGTGATAATATGTTAATTAGGGCATGTTTTGTATACTAATTAGGATAATAATGGTGCTAATTAACCCATGTTATTTGTATTAGCGGGTGTATAATTATTTAGTGTATAATTAGTTGTTATTTAAAAAATATAAATACAATTAGTCAAGTATTCTCATCCCATTTACTCTCATCCATCCAACCAAATAGAAAATAGCTTGCTCCATCCATCTAACTAAACAGACAACATAGATATCCATATCCCTAAATCCATGTATAGCCATATCTCATACACTCTTGTCCTTAGACAAACACACACTATAGTATATTTCTTGAGTCTTGCTGTTTGCTTCCTAGCCTCAACGTGTCACGGCAAACTATGGCGACTGTGGCAGCGGCGAGGAAAACAAACGCCACAAGTGTGGCGAAAATTACTAGTGCATTCTAGTTTGTGGCGAAAATTACTAGTGCATTCTAGTTTGTGGCGAAAATTACTAGTGCATTCTAGTTTGTGGCGAAAATTACTAGTGCATTCTAGTTTTAAAAGTTGTGGCAGCCTAATAAGGCTACTAATCTAAACGGCAGCCTTCATGGGTGTGGCTGTCCTGTGGCTCTGGCGAGGTGTGGCCAGGAAACAAACGACCCCTAAATAAAAAAGTTATTATATATGATATCCTAAGTCCAAGGTTGAGGTTTCATTTGGTGAAGCATCAGCTCGGCTGCGTCTGTTCTATCGGCATCTATACTATCGAATCTGGCAAGAAGCAAATATTTTTTTTTTGGAGTAAGTAAAAGGCTTTATTATTCCCAAGTCTTAGTTGAGCCAAGACCCATCATGTCCCTTACTACAGCATACTGGTAGAGATTAAGAGTTCACGAACAAGTTTAGCCAGATCCTAGCGGAAAAGAACTCTATGTAAAGTAAAAAAAAAAAATACATCTTTTAATACCCGTCACTAACTTTATGCTCACACTAGAACTAAAGAATAAGAACTGCTCTATCAACTACCATCACCTAAGTTAGATATATATGTCTCCTGAAACTTTTTTTCAAATCCAAAAGTTCAGTATAATCTTTCTACAAATTAGTGAATTAGGAGGCGTTCTTTTGTGCAGAAAAAGAAAGAGTAGTACAATCTTTCAAGCTTGCATTTT